GCCGTAAATTACGTCTGCCTGCTCCCCAATTCTTGATACCCGCTTAGCACCTTAACGCACGGTCCGCGTTTGTTCCCGGGATAGGGTGATCCAGGCATAAGCTGCTGGTCTGCAGATTGGAGTTTCATAAATAAATGAAGATGAGCACGTTTTGTAATTTAATACCGGTGAGGTATCGGCTCTGTTTTGGATTGCTGACTAGGTGCACAAGGGTAGCTGTTCTCATTCATTATTTTCACTTCATGTTCATAAAGCTTATGTCACATAGATTGATTAGTGCATATAAACAAATATATTGAAATAAGAATAAATTTTCTCCTTTGTTTATACATGCTCATCTGCCCACTGGGTTTGTTCACTGATTTTTTGTTTCTGTACTTCAGACTTTTTGGTGAACGTTGCCAACGCTGACCTGACATTAAAGGATAAGGACTTGAATACCGCTTTGCACTTGGCTAGCAGTAAAGTAAGTTGAGGACCTCTGTATGCTTCATATCCTCCTCACAGTTTATCTCTGTTCGTGTATGCTCCTTAAAAAAATAAGTATTCAGCCATGAATAAATGATTGTCAGACTTGTGGCAGGGAAGGGAAGACTGTATTTATTGAGTGCTTGCTCAGTGCATTGAAAATTGAGAAATATACTGTCTCCTACGACTTCTGAAATATAACACTAAGAAAAATGATGGAAACCCTTTCAGATTTTACCAAATAGGCTCGCTGTAAAATTGAACATTAGTTCTGTAGGATTAAGAAAGAAAAGGAGGAGAGGAGAGGAGAGAAGACAAAGACAAAGAAAAGAGAAAGAAAAGAAGAAAGAAGGAAAGAAAGGAAGAAAAATATATTTATTCCTACTCTCCAGTTCCTGTGAAAGCGACCCCAAAATTGCTCTTAAGCTCTCTCAATAGTATAAGCAGTGTCATTGGTTAGATTTGGTGGTGGAATACTTTTCCACCCCTTCTTCCTGTAACTTCTTTCTCTTCCTGTTAAATGCAATTGCTGCTACTGTTTCCTGTTTTTGCAATTAAAAAATCCAGGGGATTCCCTCTCCTGCAACTTTTCTTTTGCTATGCACAGATCAGATTGCAGCTATGACTGTATTATCCACATTAGATACAGGAGTCTACCTCACTTCTCAAAGTCCTGCAGGCAGCTCTTCACCTTCAGGGCTCTGAGCAGGCCATCTGCACCTTACGGTGCTGAAACAGTCTCAGAAATGAGGCCCCAGTCTGTATTATTTCCAAAGTGTTTTTTTTTTTTTTTTCTGGAGTTCTTAACAGTGACGGGCCTTTGTACTAGTTTACTAATGCAAAAAAAAAATCATTTAAAAGCCCAAGAAATACAGTATTGCATTTTGAGATTAGTCCATCTCTCAACAATAACTATTTCTAAGGAGTAATCAGTTGAATGCTCTCTCACAAGAACACTTCTTGTCTGAAAGCTGAGAAGATGAACTTGTATAGAATGAGTGGAGGGTTGAAAGACAGGTATTGGTAAGTGCCTAAATTTGTAAACATGCTAAAGCATCCTAGTAAAGATAGTTTGTAAGTAGTGTTTTAAGGTTTTACAATTCACCTAGTGCATACATTTATAAATTAAGAAGCATGCTTATAAACTAATGATGTTCTGCATCTTAAAATGATTTACTAAATTTCACTTTCGTATGTAGCAGTTCTTTTGGCTAAGTTTCAAATTCCTTAACAAGTGAATACTCTTTTTTAATACAGGGTCATGAAAAATGTGCCTTGTTAATACTTGACAAGATCCAAGAACAGAGCCTTATTAATGCAAAAAATAATGCATTGCAGACGTAAGTATAGCTTGAGCCTCTAAAGTTCTGTTGTTTAACCAGAAAATTCTGAATTTTGAATTCATGTCTCAGATATTTTTCATAGATTAAAAAGAAGATTTCTGAATTTTGCAAGTGCTTGCCCTTGAAATGTTCAAATTTATGTTGCCTTTTCCCTTTATTCTGACTCGTTGGATGCCAAGCCTATGCATGGTCTGGGAGAAAAATAGCATGAGATCATTTATTTGAAGACTATATGAAAACACACATTCATGGACAGTCACATATGTTTTATAATTTTACTGGTTTAAAAAAAGGAAAAATATTCTCTTTCTGATCGTGGATATGCTTGAAAAATTGTGTGCCTCTTTTTGGGAGGTCTGTTTTAATCTGAATTGAATTGAGGTTTTGTAGATCTCTCCGTATTTGGCTTTTGTAGACCTCTCCATATTGCTGCACGAAATGGCTTAAAGATGGTGGTTGAAGAGTTGCTAGCCAAAGGGGCATGTGTCCTAGCAGTAGATGAAAATGGTAAGTAAAATAATGCCCTTTGACAATCTCCAGTAGCACCTAACAGGTGATTTTCAAACTGATTCAAGCAGTAAACCTAGAAGTTGGTTAGATAATGTCGACACTTATATGCTTTCAAGAACAGAGAATAAGCTGTGTGAGTACCTTAAAAATAATGCAACAAAATACAACCCAACATGTTTTTTATTTTATTTTATATAAATATGTGTTGTAAGCATCACAGTGGTCCCTTTTATTGTTCATTTTGCATGTATTGTCAACAGTTAGTCTTTTTTAATGCTCAAGTGCAGTGGTAACTTGAATTTCCTAAACATGCAAGTGGCACCGGATAATTCTGACGCCTTGCAGAAGAATTAAGGATTATGCATTCAATCAGCGCATGTTTAATGGTATGAAGAAAACCATCCACATATGTTTGATTGTATCCCAGTTCATTCTGAGATCAAAACTAATGTTTTCCAATTGTCTGACCTAATCCAAGATGCGAGTAAAAATTGTTAATTTGGTAATTTTGTT